GTTTTAATCAAGGAACACAGAACATCCAAATCCAAGGCATGTAGCCTCCCTGGTCAAAGTTTTTCTCCCTAGTAGAAATTACTCAAGCGAAAGCAATCGAACCATTTCAATGGCGTACTGTGGAAGGTACCATCAGGGCTTAACTCAGAGAAATGCCGCTTGTGTCTCCAACCACGTTGTGGCTTGGTGGAGATTCATTTAGCGAGTTAAGTCGAAAATGATGACAATTTCCATTTTGCATACAAGAAGAGCGACTGCGAGGGACGGTAAAGAAGCTGCAGGATACTTCCTTAACACTTTTCCCATAGACCACATAAGTGGATTTTGAAATGACTACGGAAAGATCTGATACGAGTTTCTAAAAATGGTCACGAACTTTTGGGACAACCTGGTACAATCCATCTGTCCAAAGTACTTGTTGTAAATTGCTTAGAAGGACACGTAATAAGCAACGACACTGTTTACGTTCTGAAAGTGTATAACTTTTCAAAGGCCGCTATTTTCCCAACGAATAACAAGTGATCAGGTAAAATCGATCCCAAAATCCATAGCGCACCCATCAAAATCGTCATCAAATGGCCTAGTACGACAACAAATTGAAGCAACTATATTCGGATTATGGTAACCATTTCGTCCTCGACGATTTTCTCGTACGATTCCCCTTTTCCGTGCTCTTTTACGTCATTCGCTAACTATTTTTGATCGTTTTCTCGCTTCAAATCATTGTTCTTTCTCTTTCGTGATATTAGAGTGCCAGTAGATCGCCATTAGCAGCTCACCTTCAGCCTCAGACCCCTGTAACTATCTGTAGCTGATTGAGGGAAAATTAAACTCGCATGGAACTTAGAATGTGGAAGAAGTGATAGTTCTTCGCCTCGCGACTTCCTAACCTAACACTAATAATTTTTTTTATAATACATAGATTCCATCTATGTACCTCCAATGACTTGCGAAATCGACGGTTGCGACGGAGAATTAGTCGGCGCGGAACTGCTCGCTTTCCACTGCTTCCGCGGAATTTGGTTAAATATTTCAATAAGTAGCGTCAAGTCACCTGGCGGATGTACTAGAAGACTCGGCTCGAAAGCGCTTTATCTGGCCTGAGAACTGCAAACTAATGTAAGTGCGTGAACCTTTAAACAGGAGTAGTTAAGCGCAAAGTATTTGGTGTTTTAAATGCCCCTCCCGTACACTTTGCTCTTTGTTATTGCCTGATCGGCGCCTTTTCACAGTCATTCTCTCGAAATGCGTCATGTTTGCTTGAAGAAACGGATGGAGTAAGAAAGGGAAACATTTGACTTCAACATCGGTCAGCATGTCATTTATAAGACCTCTTCAGGAATGGAATTTCGATAAAGGAATTAGCTCAGTTCGCTTGGAGGGGATGGGGCATTGTGTATTTTCTCTACTCTCATGCACAGTGTTCACTGCTTTACAAGAGTTGACAGTGAGACTTCATGACTTCACCAGATTTCACAGATCTCTATCTGATTTCTCGGCTCTTGGTGGAAGTAGCGGAAGAGAATAATGCTCCTACCCCCTCCATCCGCCGAACTGTGCCAAGAAATCTGCACGTGCTTCGATTTTCTCGTATGTTGCTTAGTATACACGAAAATCCTCTTTTCAAAAACTCTTATTAATAACGGTTGGGCCCCAAGCCTTTATTCAGATGAAACTGAATATTGACGCGAATTCATGCTTCAGTTAGAATAACATTGGCAAATACCAACAAACCAACTTACTGAAAAAGTCCTACAAAGTTTGCCAGAGAAAGATCCGTTCTCATAGTCAGTAAGGATGAGTTGTTGTTATTAACCAATGTGAGTTTGAACTCGCTTAGCTTTTGGTTGATCTGCGGAGGGTCATAGGTACGGGACGCTCATCAATGGATGTTCTCCATGGAGGAGCATCATGAAGACATCTGTAATATAAAGGCTCAAGGGACACTTCATAACTCATTAATTGTGATACTTTTGCTGTCAATTACTCCATTGAGCACTGAATTTTCTCTTCCCTTTCCCACAAGTATCGAGCAATTCATCTCTTTCTGATTTTTGCGTCGCTACATGATCTTAGCACCGAATTGTTCGGCATATTTGATCAGAGCATCATGCTATTCTGAGCCATTCACTTGATTTCCTCCGATCTTCTTGCGCGTCTCACGATCGTCCATATATATAGTAGTGATTGACGATTCGTTCAGCATCATTTCCTCTAACCCGCTTGCATTTGTGATGACGTCGACCGCAGTCCTGCTAGGACTGGTATGTTTTTCAATGCTTGTTCCTTTTTGAGCTAAATAGATCACATCTTTCAAGCATAAAGGTGCATGATGTTTCTGATAGCAAAATTATTAAGAAACAAGTAGTTATAATGCCCCAGTCTATTGAGCTATCACAATGTCCAATATGACAGGCTCGAATCTGGCCCGTCTCTCTGCAGTTGCTGCTCTACCAGTGCTGCCACGCATTGCCATGTCAGAGGGACCTGAGACGACTAGAAGTATCTTAAAAATCCCTGAGATGCGGCAAGCGGCTGACTATTTGGATTGAACGTGCGGCGGCCAAGGTTTTCGTGAGATATTTCACTTTGGGAGTTGTAGTCATCCCTTCGTCCACGCAGAACAAGATGACAGTTGTCTAACTGAACTATAAGCAGAATAACCCTATCATGCTGTTCAATGCCACGCCTACTCCGTCTCCAGGATAAGGAGTGTATGTATGTAGTACCCTTAATTACATACAGTCCGATACCGTCGCAATCTTTGGGACTCATAAGGTTGAAATGGCCCGCCTCAAGCTGCTTTCTCTACAGTAATGATCGAGCAAGTAACCGATCCAGTAAGCAAGCAACCAGCGCTGAAGTAGGTGAAGTACGCCACTGGGAGGCTCATTCTATGCCTTTTGGTATCCCTCGAATGCTTAAAATGCAGAATAATTTCTTAATTTCACGGCTCTTACAGTTATAGGCGCCTAGAGACCACCCCCTTTGTCGACTCGATAACGCCGACCTATTTTCACAGCAATGGGGTCTCACAAGCATTGTACTTTCATCTGTGGTACAACTTCGTTTAATACGCTGGAAAAGTGGACAGTCCCAATGAGAGGCACGGTGGTTGACTGTCTCCACCCATTTCTCATCCCATCCGATTATTACGCAACAGGTGTTTGAGCAGGTCAACTTTGTTGGGCAGTGAGGTGAATTGTTGGACTGATAAAAAGGGAAATAGCAAGCTAATGCCCTATTATTTTCACTCTTTCAGCTTGCTGGCTTTGTCGTTTGCTGCTCGTCTGCGTCTGTTCGAAAGCGAGCAGGTCAGTGCAACCCTCTCTTTTCTTGGAGAAGGAGATTTTTTAGACGCTCAATTCTTAAAACCTGATTAGCCGTATATTTCAGTATGCGCAAACACGGAGATGTCGGATGCGTTCCGCGACACGATTCTCGCTTTTCATAATGATGCTCGTCGTCGTGTCGCAAAAGGACTTGAGGCCGAACAAGGATGGCAGCCTCCCACCGCTAAGAATATGTACAAGCTGGTGAGTTGTTTTGCATTAAACAGAGAGTGAGTTTCGAGTGAAGGAGAGTTCCTTCTATTAGTCTGAGTAGAAAATGCTAAAAAACGCGTCCAGATAGCGCTGTGAATCCTAACTGCTGACATAATGTTGCAAAGCTATGATTATCGTTATTCAGAGATCAGAGTCCTTTTCTGGTGGCAGCCTGAGTTTTCACCACCGCCACGCAGACCATGTGGGCGGGGTTACTTGTATGGTTGCTTTTTGCGCCTTCCTCATTGGGACTTTCTTCATTGAACCGCTGCAGCTTTATTTTTCTACTATCTTAAGCGGTGACTCACCATCATAAAATTGTAGCACTCTAAGTGCCTCTACCATTGCTCTGCGCAGAACATGCCATCCAGAACAGCTCATTTCTGACATTGTTAAGGCCATGGCGCCTAGTTTTTCGGGTATTGAAACTTTAGCTGTTTCCGTCATTAATTTAGAAACAAATCTTCAATGAATGTATTATCTATTTCGTTGTCTCACTATCACAGGTCCTCTCCTCTTTTTCTCCCTCCCTGAGCTAAGTGAAGGTTTTCCCTCTTAGCCCAGTTTTTTATCCCCTGTTCAATCGTTCTCGTTCCCATTTGCATTTTTTATGTTTTCTTTCTTCCTATGCTTATATTATTCTAATTACAATTCATTTTAAATACATAATTCGCTTGTATCAGTTAGCTCACTTCGCTCAGAAAGCTACCTTGTTTTGCAGGAATGGGACTGCACCATGGAGCAGCAGCTCAAGACGCTCTCGCCAAGTTGTCCAAGCGGGTATGGGGTCATGGTCCAATATGGCGGCAGAATATGATCACGTAAGTGTGAGGTGAAGATCGTGTTCGGGTATATTTCTTTTCCTCCAGTCCTATTATTGACTCGGTGGGACTCCTTTTTTCTCGATAATTTATTGGGCCTTCCTCAATACCTTATTAGGTCTTCTACATCAGCCGCCTGTTCAACCAGGGCCTGACGCTGGTATCGTTCCATTTTGCAATTTTGCTGAGGCATGGTTTCTGCCTCGGCAGAGATCGAACTAGTGGCTTCAGAGTGAGATTATGAGTCTACACTCTTAACACTCGGCTATCCCTGCCTCTTATTAGGTCTAGATATTTGTGTTTATAAATAGGCAATGCATGAGAAATATCATTTACAGTCAGTCAATCATTGAATTTTCTTTCATAAATGTCTTTGTTAAGTGGTCAAGCACGGTGGATTTTCGAATCCGCGGTGCCCAGATAAATTCCACCTTGAGCAAATGGTGGGGAGCTGCACAGCTTAACGATGTACCGACACAAGTAACAGATACACCACTTCAAGTCTATACAGCTTCGCTAACGTGAGTTTATAAACACCCAATTGTCATTGAAATGCGTTCCGTTTTTTCTTGTCCTTAGGTTCATTCCTTAGGTTCATAATTTGGAAAATTCTTACAAAACCTCTGCAATTCAGATGGTATTCTCCGAGACAAACAAGATCGGATGTGCCTACAAAGTATGCAACACCAACAAACTAATCTTCACTTGTCTATACAACGCTATGTAAGTTAATTTGTCGATTTTTGATCGGGAGACATAGTTCGCGTTTAGGGGGGTGGAAGTGAGTGAGACCCTAGACGTTGAGCTGTTCTTATTTACCTGCCCGCACGCCTCTACCGTATTAGAAAGGAGCCACTGAAGTGAAAGGCACAATGGTCGTGAATCTCGGTCCATCCATTTTGCCTCGGGAACTAAGGCTTTTCTCGCGTTGGCACATCGAAAGTAAAATAGTTTGAAAAAGGAAATGCCCTGAATAGTTGACATACAACTGGAAAAAAAGCAAAAAATCCCCCGAAATAAAGCTGTCCCTCTCGCGATTGGCGGTCACAACCGGCGAGAATAAGGTGACCGAGACCACTTGCAAGAGGCGCGAGCCGACGATACACCAAATGGAGTGGAAGGAGACCAGAAAACGATGGCCTTGAAGGAACGAAGAAACTACCACGACGAGACGGGCCTGGGCCTGTATGAACGTACTAGGTGACCACGGCCCAAAAATTAATCTTCCTGAGCTTTGAATGCCGAATTTTTATCCTGTGATTTGATTGCCGAATTTTTAATCAAGTACAGCCTCTGCTGTCGCGAGAAAAGTCACCCTGTACATAAGAGGTTTGAGCCTCAGTTTATCGTGCTCCTCATGTCTTCAGGATATCCTCTTGGCTCCAAGCCGGTGCCGTCCACTGACCCGAAAGTGGATTAAAACTCACTACTACACTAACAGTTAAACATACAAAGTCTACCATGGGAGATACAGTCGCTATTCAGCCTGGGAGTCTCACTAGTGTCTTTTGCTGGTTCCTCTTAAAGTGCAGGTACCCTCTTCTTAGTGCACACAATGCTTCTGCCCTCTCAGCTCCGCAAGATTTTAAAGACTACCTCTAGGTTGGTTTTGGCGCGCGCCAGCCTCTTACCTCTCCCCTCAACTGTGAGAACTGGCAGGAGAACAGGCTGACGCCGAGCCGAACCTTTCACCCTATATTCGTGGGTTTCACTTGGGTTTGGGTCTGCTAGATTGTGTCAGACTTGTGCGGAAGGAAACACAATGGAACACTACATTTATGATTTATTTACAGTGGATATTATACTAATGCTCCTATGTGGGAAACTGGCACTGCTTGTTCAACAGGCTCTGATTGCACTACTTTCTCTAACTCAGGATGTGATAATGGTCTATGTACAAAAGGAGAACCCGTTCCAGGTAAAGTTGAGCTCGAAGACATATAGTGAACCTCCGTGTTTATTCCCTCATGACTGGTACAAATACCAGTCGTATCCTATCGATAATTGTAAACGAGTTCTTGCACCTGTGTTCTGAAACAACTTTGGGATGGCAACGATGTCCACAACTAGATTTTTCCACTCATAAGTGGTACTGCCCCGGGTGGAAAGGGATTCAATACGCGGAATCTCTTTCAGAAGCGTGACTTTAAAAGCGACTGATCAGTTCTTGATCTGCCTTCACTTCTGAAATGCTCAAAAAGGATAAGGAATTGTTCACAGTCTGCGGCAAAGCGTTTTTCTGGAACGCAGCGGTTCGGCGAAAAGCTTTTGATATGTATCGACTGGCGGTTGGGCGAAGAGTCTGGCGATTGGGCGAAACGGTTTTGATACGAATCGACGAGCGTTTCGCCAAGCCGCGACGTTTTTCGCCTTCGACGAAACACCGACGTTTTTCGCCTTCGACGAAACACTAGCTCGATCGCCCTGGCGTTTTTCGCCAGCGAAATCGATAAGCATTTATTGTTTTTCGCCCAACCGCCGAACCGCGGCGGTTCGGCGAAACTAGCGGTTGGCGATTCTCCGATCGATGACTATTTTTTGCTTTTCTCCCAACCGCCGTTTCGTCAGGGTCGCAGACTGTGAACAATGACTAAGTGTTGCGCTCTCATAGAGAACACGGAAACCTCTACGGTAAATCTAAGCGTAGTTCCTTTTACCATTTGTGAGTGCCGTTGAACTAACAGCTCTACCCTCGTTCAAGGTTCCACGATGTCCAGTGGAGGATATCTAGAATTTCATTGTCATCTTGACCAGTATGCTTTGAAAGGACTTAATACGAAGGACTAATACCGCGGTCCTGAAGGCAAAGCGCGACCGCTCATAGTCATCGTAGGGAACGGTAGTGTGGACTGCAACGAACAACAATTTAATTTCACGTCAGAAAGATTGGCGGGAGTAATGAACAAGCTCACAGCGACTCTGCCCACGATAGATGTGTTTCCTGCTGTCTTGCTCCGCATGCCCTTTCGCTCCTTTACCTGGCCTTTCGCTTGATATTCACATCGATTCTTTATCCTCGTTTGGCACGAGTCGAGCCTTATTAGGAGCACTTGTGACGGATTTTTCTTCTTTTTTTCTCCACGGGCAAATCAGCTAGCACCTACATCTGTGTTTAACATCCCGCCGCCTACGAAATTGTCGCTGGCTCGTGGTGAATTCTGCCTTGAAACCTCGCTATATGTTCTGAAGTGCTTCCCTGTGGATCAATCGCCGTGCTTTTATTGACATTAGTCTCAGTTCATGTTTTCAGAAACGAACAACGATTGCTCAGCCAATTCAGGAATGACCGACTCAGTGAGACAAAAGTTCCTCGACTTGCATAATGGATACAGGTGAGATTGTGAGCATCTTTCGCTGTTGAGCTTTCGTGGATTGGGGTAAGAGTCGCTGGAGGACTGATTTACAACTTTTCTCACCGTCACGGCGTGCCCAGCAGTAGAGTGTTTCGCTCAAAAGTTGAGGCCGTTCACCTTCGAAACAGTGATTCATTCGAAAAATCAGTCCATATTGAGAAAATATCGAATTGATTTCTCTGCAGATCGAGCCTAGCCCGAGGACTTGAGTCTGATGCGCTCGGCGGAAATGCACCGAAAGCATCAAAGATGTTGAAAATGGTGAGTACTTCCCAACCTCACGAAAAATTCGTAATATCTGGTATCCCTGTCCAGTCACGTTGAGAACTAGAAATAAATAATCATGTTAAGGTCTATGACTGCTCCGTGGAGGCTTCAGCTCTGCAACATGCCTCAAAGTGCGTCTACCAGCATTCAACGAACGCTGAACGACCAGGGCTCGGCGAGAACATCTACATGACAAGTGCTCTAAATTTCGATAAAGTCAAAGCTGCAGCACAGGTAACCTCAGTTGTTAGTTGCGCAAATCAACACCCTGCTTTGCGATCCTTCACTTTTCTCTGAACATTTCCAGGTTATTCAAGTACATGGTTCAAACACAGCATTCAAACACAACGCAACACAGTTATCAAACAACGCTTTATGCCCATCTTCTCACTTCAGTTACAAAAGCAAAGGATGAAATCTCCACTGTAGATAGATTTTTTTTCACTTCCCTCTATCCTGGAGCTAACTACACTTCCTTGTGGCGAGCAAGGGCTAACACGAGATTTCTGCTGCGATTCGTTGCAGTTTGAGCTAATGCTGAGACTAGGACACATGGTCCATTGTAGAAAACTCAACGGATGGGACTGTATTCAGCTGCTGGGGAACTGCGGAACTGCTTATTCGGCCTCAAAAAATTTTTTTCGTTGACTTCTCCTATTTCATGTGTGCTACTGCTGCTCCGCAGTTCAGCTACTTCTATTAGTTTCTCGACTGTGTTGGGCCGAGTCCCCGTGTCCTCGTCGAACTATAGAGAAAGTCGGTTAAAGGCAATTCCCGCGACCACACTTCATAGGTGATACGGTTAAAAAAAAGAATTGCCATGTGCTTGTTGTCTTACTCAAGAAGAGGGAAGCTCGAAAACCGCCCGCAATAAGACCCTCTTTATTGCTATTGCCGTGATCACGGACGAGCATAAGATGATCAAGATCAATTGTGGTCTGCAAAAGGCGACGATACAGTGACTGGAGAGGAGAGGGACCAGAAAACGGCCGGTGAGAGAGCACATTGGCATCTTNACTATGACACGTTCGACGCAGGCCGATGCCTATTGGTGCAATGGGCCTAAAATCGATGCGTTTGCTTTCTGGTTGTTAGTTTTCGACTTTTGTACAGTACAGCTCTGCGGTGCTACCTGTTCATCCTGCCACCAATTCAGAGGTTTAGCCTCAATTTAATCGGAACCGTGCCTTTAAGAAGGAATGCGGGAGTGTACGCATCAAAGGTAGAACTGTTGAGGGAAGGATCTGTTTAGCGAAAATTTCCCGCAAAAATGCTCTTGAAAATTACTTCCTAATCGTCTCCGATGTATTACCCGCAATGGGCAAAATCGATGCGTTTTCTTTCTGGTTGTTAGTTTTCGACTTTTTGTACAGTACAGGCCTCTGCGGGTGCCTACCTGTTCATCCTGCACAATTCAGAGGTTTGAACCTCAATTTATCGCGAACGCGTGCCTTTAAGAAGGAATGCAGGGAGTGTGCGCATTAAAGGTAGAACTGTTGAGGGAAGGATCGTTTAGCGAAAATTTCCCGCAAAAATGCTCTTGAAAATTACTCCTAATCGTTCCGATGTATTGACCTGTACGGAGTGCTGTCTGTCGTGGCCAGGTGATGGCAAGGCAGCATCGGCGGAGCGTACCCGCAATACGCCGGTTGTGTGGAGAGAATGCACCCTCCTAGAAGGTGTACGTGGCTTGCTGATCGGATGCTCTTATACTAGTTTGCTAGGGTGAAGTCATACTATGTGTTTCCATCAAACTCTTAGACAACAAACAGGACAGAATTTATCGCCACGGCTGCATGGAGACTCGCAACAAGCGCATACCTTAAATCCACACGACACGCATTTGATTTCGTCGCAATCAGTCGAGGCTGTTCCAGGAGGCGCGCAGTGTTCTCACCCGCAGTGTTTTCTACCACTGGTTGTTTTCTTCCTGCATGCATCACTGACCGATCGCTATTCGCGGCAACCGTGAGCAAGCTCATTCTTCCTGACACCGCCCTACTGGTTGCGATGATATCAACTATAAGCAAGCCAAAGCCAAATTTTCACCATATGTAGTCCGTTTTCTTCATATTCCGCGGTTCTTTTTACCACCAACTATAGTCAGTACTATCTTGCGTAACATTTCAGTCATCTCAACTTTGGTGGGACGAACTGAAACAATATGGTGTTGGCCAATCAAACAACTTGACACTGGCGCTATGGAATCGTCCAAATACTCAGATTGGTCACTATACCCAGGTGACGCTCATACCATAGGCTCCATTTCATCCGTTCCTGATCATTGTAAGCTAGAACCATTTTTCAGATGGCATGGGAAACTTCGTATCGTCTTGGATGTGCAGTTGTCCACTGCTCAACCTTCACCTTCGGTGTCTGCCAATACGGCCCTGCGTAAGTTTTTCATATTAGGTAGAAATTCTTCGCTCACAGTGTACTCTTACTCTATCGTAGAATGTGGGTGGTAACAATGATAGGAGATGAACTTGGCTGCCGTCAGCATGTCAAGCTTCCACGTGTTCTTTTCTAATCTCCGAAGCCTTTTTCACTTCCCTTCTCGTGGGTGACCACTGTTCAAGACGCGCCTTGCTGTAAGGGAAAGCTACCGCCTAATAGGCCCCCTTTTCGAATTTTCTTCTCTGATACGACCCCCCCCCTATACCTTCCCCTTTCCCCTCCCGCCTACCTTCTTTATACTACTTTTACCGAATTTCCAGCAACCTTCCTGGTTTTTCGCCAGATGTAAATCCCAGAATAGTTAAATATGCAGATAGTCAACACCCGAAAACATTTTTGGGAAGCCAAGTGCAGCTTCCTTCCCTCCAAGCGCTAGATACGATCCCTTTCGCTTTGAATCCTCAAAAAACGACGTCCCTGCCACTAGTAAAATTGTGTCTACGAATTTATCTCTAGACGAGTGCTTCCGCTAGTGTAACTGGCCCACCAGGGTTTCATCCGATGGCGCCAGTGTAACATGGCATCGCTTAATATTATGCTGCCACCTCTATCGGGATGCGGCACTCATCCTATTTCCACTCTGGATCGTAATAGCTTGATGACTGCTACGTGACCGGTGCAATGATTGTGGGGCTAGCCTATGTATAAGCTAGTGTTCTTATTTTCCCAGGCAAAACTGGTACAAAATCACTGGAGGGTAAAGGACTGGAGTTGAATGAGCGGGAACAAATCCGGGTAGTGCCACTTGCCATTACACCCTCCCGTCCTCACCACCACGTATAAGAACGTATTGAAAAAGATTTCACCGCTCTCCACAGCTCACCACCAAACCTCCACCCTGCTGCACCATCACTTGCTCATAAGTTGCTTGTGGAATTTGCAGTTTTGCTTTCTATAACTGTAATTACCCTATAAACTCTATCGATCTACCCAGGTCTCCATTCAAAGGTAAATGCTAATGTAAGTTGGCGGACTTCCCTGGTAAGCGTGTCATCACCTTCGCGAGATTGCTACCGCAGGCAATTTCTCAGAACTTCTGTCTCAGGCTTCACTCGTCTAATAATAGCTCATCAGCATGTGTTAAATAAAAAAAAACCAGAAGACTTTTTCAGCGGCAACTATCTGAATAGACTTATATATACTATTGGAGAACCGTGCACGTCAGATGCTGGTTGTCCTGGTTCTTACACATGCAATGTGGCAGAAGGACTCTGTAATGTCGTGTAAATTTATTGTAGAAATAAAGTGATAGCAAGGGTTGCGATTTGTTACACAAAACGAGCGTCAACAAAAAAAAGACTTTCAGAAAAGTTCTGAAACCAAGAACATTCCCAGGTTCAATCCTTCAAATAGCGTACGGCCCTTCTGCGTGGCGCGATCACATCAGTGGCGGATATCATTAGTATGCTCCCGGCGGATCTCGGCGAGAGAGACCAAAGAGGGAAATTTCGAGGGAGTCGCACTATTTTGCACAAATTTCCTCGTGGCAGAACGTGCCCTGACTGGACAGGCGCTTCTGTGTTGTCTGCATGGGCTCTTCAAACCCTTGTTCCCCTTGTTTAGGCCTCTAATTATCACTGCTTAGAGAATGCACGCACGAAGCTTCCCAGCGTACGCAACATGATTGAGTGGATGTAAGGGAGCTCTAACTTTAGTGAAAGTGAGCAAAAACGACTTAAACGACTTAAATCTGCACCGATCCAGTAATTCATGAGAGTGGAGACATCTGGTCTGGTAGCCCTGAATTGTTTCGATCCTTTCAGGCTCCGAAGACAGCAATTCTGCGTTTAAACGTAAGCCATTGAAACCGATTCACAAAGACTCCTGTAAAGTTGAAACAAAGCACCTGGCGGATCCAATTGTGTTCTTACATATATAACGATGGCGCAATCCAAATGATTTATGTCAAAGGGGCACATTCATTGACGCTGTTCAGTCTTGAGTTAGTTCCAATAAAATAATCCGTATAAATCTGTTTGATCGTCAGCTGTACATTGGCTTTTGAACTGTATTTTTTTTCTCTTACTCTTCTCCTGGCCCTGACTTTGCAGACGTTTCATGCAACATCTAATTCTTGAGTAACCAAACTGAGATCTCATCGTTTGTGATCAGTTTCAAGGAGAATGGTGACAGAAGCAACATTACAGCAATCAGCTTGAATTTACGAAGGCCCACAGAATTGAGACGTCATAATGGCGTCCAAGAGTTCCTGGAAAATATTAACAGAGAACAAATAAGTACACAGCAAACTCTGAGGAGAAAATCACATAATAACTGCGCGAACTGAACTAAACACGTTCTTTTCTGCACTTTACTGCCTTATTTTTCTAGGGATTTTTTTTAGATTTATCCACGTGGATTTGTTTGCTGGTGGCGGATTGACCCTTGGAGACAAAGGGATGGAATGGAGTAGTAGAACTTTCCAGGGTAAAGATTAGGCTCTTATATGCGAATTCCTCTCTAATGAGACCCATAGCTTCAGACACCTAGCAGCGCAGGATGGGCAAGCTCGTATAGTAATTGCGAGCATGGCTCGTTGCCACAATGGCAAGACATGCCCCGATTGTGAAAAGCAGTTTGTCTTTCAAGAGGATATAAATATGATGAGATAAGTAAAACGCTCACAAGAAATGCTCTTTCTCTGGTGTTTTGCCATTTTGCGTCCTATTATCAAAGATGTAGAAAACATCATTCTGGTTAGGAACAAAGAACGCCAGCCACCATCCAAATGTTGAAGTAGCAGCAGTTATAAGGAAGGCACGACACAACTGAGACGATAAATACAACTCTACTGCTTCTTCGAAGTGAGAAACGAATGATGCCTAAAAAAGGTTGGTTTCGATGCCGAGCAAACGTTTCATATTGCTATGCTATATGTTGTTGTTTCACAATTGCTTTATCTTTGTATAGAAACGTATAGTTGATATCGTCGCAATCAGTCGCGGTGGAGTCAAAAGACTTAAAATGGTCTGCCCTTGGGTACGTTTCCTTCCAATAGTCATCGGCTAGTGACTGATTCGCGAAGAAAGCAACCAATCTTACGAACTGTCGTGGACTCATTCCATGCCTCTGGCATCGTTTCAAACGATTATAAACTGAGCTGCCGCAATAAACTCTGTACTTACATTTCTCTCCCATACTCCCCACTCTGACATATCAATTGTAAGGTTACGCATAAACTCCTTATCATCGCCAAAAAGAATAAAACGGAACGTATTCTGAAAAGAAAAAACTCTGAACTAACGTCATTATTTTTTTAACTGAGGAGTGGGACAAAATCACTGACGCACCTGAATATCGATATCTCTCGGAAATCAACTTATTATTGCTAATGTCAACTGATATCTCACAAATCCTATCCGCAGCCTCAAGGTGGTGTGGGGAGAATGGTGTGAACGGTTTCAAACCGCATCAATGCGGAGGATGTCACTTTGAAGCCTGGCGAATTACACGTGGACAAATTTTACGCCGAAAATAATGATGGATATGGACCTCATTTCCCTGAACCTGAGGGAACCACCACAATGCGGCGTCGGTTGGGACCGCTAAGGCGAGGCTGCTGAAACTTCAGGGCCACGGGAAATAAAATCGCTTAGGACTCGGATGACGAGCTCTACCTTCAACGCGTGAAAGATTGCATTGAAAGCTCACATCGAAGATCTGATGATGAAAGCCAGCAAGATCGAGTGCGATGTCATAGGATTGACAGAGACGAGGAGGGTTGCCCGGTGCACGCTGGGCGCACGGAACAAGAGGAGAACTCTTCCTCGGAACGTGCGATAACAGAGGCCTTAGCAGCGGGTGTCCTCATCACACGCACCTGGCCATGAACATCGATTCGTACGAAAATCTGACGACCCGCATTGGACGTTCGCGACTGAGAAGATGTGGTGCAACTCCGGCTGCAACAATCTTCGTCGCCAACACCCACATCAAGCTGCGACGACGATGTGCTCAAAGCATTCTGTATGGAATTAGAGACGTTCTACGAGGAAGGCTCTACCTTCTTCAAGGTAGTCGTAATTTCAACATTAAGATCGGAAAAGGAACAATGGCTGAAAGGCTTTACATCGGAATTCATGGAACAGACGGAATGAGCGGGGTAGGCTCTCTGAGTTTAGTCGACTCATACTATCCATGGTAACTCGTAGTTCCATAAGCCCTACTCTCGCTTACGTGACATCTTATACCTTTGTGCAAAGTGCTGTTGCGGAAACAAAAACGCAGGCAGATAGAGGATGGCGCGTGCCGACATCGAGATGCGCAAGAGACTTTGGCGAGCCAGGGACCAAGCCTTATGAGGGATGAGACTCGCGCTGGGTGAGCCACTCACTCATACATGAAAAGGAATGGAACGTGCGAAGTCACAACGACCACAGAGTGGTACGCGGACGAAGAGAGAGCAGAGAAAAACACAAGTTTGACGTGTTCGAAAGAAGTGAGTTGGCTGTCCGACTCCCTATTCTCCACGCTGCACATGGGAAAATCCTGGTAGGCACCTCCATCAAGAGTTTGACCCATCAATTCCAATCGAAGGTTTTGCCCAAGCGAGCCTCGGTCGCTCCCAAGTTCTACACGGATTCAGACCACCGTCTCCTTCGTGCAGGATTCCGTTTTTCAATGCGAGCAGAGAGAGAGAGACAGAGAGAGAGCCTCGAAGTCTAAGAAGCGGAGTTCTAAAACCGTCACCATATGGGTTCACCTCGCTCCTGTCGCTGAACTCTGAGAGAATTCCGCTATCAACAGCATCGACAAGGGTGCTAGCGGCCCATATGGTGAACATTTTCACTTCTGCAAGAAGAAGTCAGAGAGTTTCAAAATCGCCAACGATGGTTGAAACACTAGAGGTGATTCTCTAATAGCCGCACAAGCCACACGCAGCTACCAGCTGACGTCTGAGTTTGCGAACCTGTGCAGGGAAGCGATAAGGGAAGACCTCGGGGCGAGAAGTGCAGCAGTACCGGTGGAAGATGCAGAAGCTGGGAAGAGAAACCGGATTGCCTCGCTAACTGTAAGACCGAGATGACTGGCTTCCCATGTCCGGGCGAAACAATCACTGCGTCACAAAGGGCAATGGAAGGTCATTCACGATTTTTATTCAAACCTTCTTAATAGCCTTGTCCATTTGCATTTGCAGTCCCTTCAGTTCTCCTTTCCGGAATTCCGACACGCCATCTCTTCGGTAAAAGATCGTACGGCACCGTTTCGACAGGATCAGACCCGAATATATGGAGAACCTTCTACCAGTATCTTTGAAAATCAAGCTAGACTCTTCACGCGCTGCCTGTCAGAATGCAAGGCAACCCACCACGTAGAAAACCAGCACGACTGTATTGCTGCACAAAAAGGAAGGACTGTACGGCATTGGCAATCATCGCCCAATCTGCCTGCTGTCTGTAATCTGCAAACCCTTCAAACGAGTCATCCTGAGTAGATCACTAGACGAAGGATAGCCATGCGAGCAGGCAGAGGGAGAGGATTGATTGCGACGGCTCACATCCACAGGTAATAAACTTAAGTGAAGTATTGCGATAGTACAAGATGCAGTCATGTCTCACGTCCACCGACTCGAAGGAAGCCTTTGGCTCTGCCAAAACAGAGGAGGTTTTAAAGCCCTGGGCGACAAGGATGTTCCTGCTCAGAATAGGAATATATGGGAGTAGACAGCGCAACTGCACCATCTCCGATTTGCAGGCGCCATCGTTCTCATAACACCAAACCCTGAGCAAGCGAAGCGAATGCTGGCTAGTTTCAACAGCCCGCGTGGAAAAATCGGTTTGCATCTGAATCTAACGAAGACGATGTTAATGAGAAATGGATTGGTTCCTGATACCTCTCACTCTCGCTCAAGGGAACGAACATCTCTGAATGCTCTACTTGCGTATATTTGGGTCGAGAAATGAATATGATGAAAGACTTGGCACTAGAGTTGAGCAGGAGGAAGCGAGCCTGGGGAGCCCTCAAGGCATTGAGAAAGTAGCAAAGAAAACGAAGAACACTGCTCCGCGCTTACCCCTTCAATCCGCTGTCCTTCTGCTTGAATGTACGCCTCGGATACTTGGACTTTACACAAGCAGGATGAGCATGCAGTCACCGTCGTTCAAGACGCCATCGAGAGAGTGCCGCTCGCAGTTCTCAGGCAGACACAATTGAGTGGGACACCGCTGCATTTGCCAAGGTTGCGAAGATCCAGAGCCAAGGTTTGGCCGGACTCGTCATGCGCCTTGAAGACGACCGCTGAACGGAGCGGTTACTGGCTGGATTCCATGGGATGTCAGCTGCACACTTAGACGATCGCCTACGCAATAATTAGACTTCTTTGTGGAAGCTCTGAACGAATGGTATGAAGTTCATCGTGTCCCTTGAGCACAGAGAACCTACTGGGCAACGTTCCAGGGACGAGGACGTAACTCTCGCCCACAGGCGAGGCCGGTGGTTACTAAATACAATAAAAAGTGAAGGATGAGCTCAGCTGTTTATCATCATCGTCAACCATATTAGCCAACCACTCTGAACGAACGCTTGAGAAAGAAGACCCAGTGCAACATAGCGTTTGATGAGCGCTGCCGCGAGGTAAGATCGTACGGCACATTCCAAACACATCTTTTAGGGGCATTATTTTACAACATTTTCTGCAACAGAAGCTGATTCAGTTTAGGGGCTAAGTCTATTGCGTCTAGAATGTTCTCCACCAATTGTTGAAGCGGGCAAGTGACAGCAACAATTTATGGAAAGGAGGTTGACTCCAAGCTGAGAGAATCTTCTCGCCAGTAGTGCATCAGTGACTTTGTCCGCCGTCCTGTTAGGTTTGATTTACCAAGCGCTTCGCAATTTTGTTGGCTGCCTCTACCGATTGGTTTCCATTTGTGGCCACATTGTAAGTGAGAAAGTCCGTTCGTCGCACATGTATGCACACAGAACTATTACGTTCGCTACAGTGAATCACATTTGGTTGAGTTAACGATCCCTCCAAAAAAAGGACTCATAGGCGCACATGCCAAGAGTTCCTATAAGGTGATTCCCTTCGCTACGAATACTTGGAGAGAACTGTAGAAGCTTGTGGATATCCTCTAGATACTTATCGAAAAACCGTGGGTTCTGTCCGTATCTGAAGTGTAGGAGCAGATACTCTGCAGAATGGTTCAAGAACCTGAAAGAAATATGAAAACTCTTGCCTCTATACATATAGGTAAGGTATGATGAGAGATGAGAGGGTAAGCACTATTAACTGTTACAACTACAGAATCTCAAAACACTTTTTTGATTTAAGTTCGACAAGGACTACTTAGTCCTCTCATCTTCAAAATGACACTAGCTTCAGGCATTTTCGCCGATATGGCGGCAAAACCACCCCCTATTTCGCGCGGGTCACGGCCCTTTTCTATGCGTGCTTACGTGACAAACCATGTGTGCCGCGCGGCCAGACCGATCAGCTCTCAGCCACGATTACTTTATTGATGGTTTCACTGTAAAAACTCGTACATGGGGGTTATTTCGCACTCCCTTCGTATCATAACACTCATTCCTAGCAATGGCGCCGTCTTACTCTCTTGGCCTTTATACATATAATTAAGGTCTGAGCCAGGATCTCTTTCAGCATTGAGGTAAGTCTGCATTCGAAAGTGTTCGGATACCGGAATAACGATCAGGTATTTAGTTTTGGTCTTAACGCCACTTGGGGCTCCCGAGCAAATATCGACGCAGCCTTAGCCACATTTCGCCGGTGTCATTTAGGCAGCCACCTCGGTTTGTGAGCTTACAAGAATTCGGCTAGAAATTATACGACGCCAACTGGCACTTATGGCGCCAAATGGCGCCAGTTACTAGAGTTTTGTAGCACCAGCGTCAAAAACCGATATTACAGTTGTGGACCTTTGATTACCCTAGGCCTTGCACATTTATGTCGATTTTAGCGAAAAACGTGACGGCGCCAAACTGGCGCCTGTTATCGCCAGAATCGACGCTACGCTGTAAAAAAATCTCCTAATCGCGACCTGAACAGTTCTGTAGCAGTGGCCTCTAGAGCTCAGTCTGTAGTGACTATCCTGTATAGAACATTGCCTGCTTGCTGAATTTGCGAAGTGCCTGCACTTTAGAACACCGTTGTACGGATAAATTGTTGGAAAATTTTCTTGGCCTGCCCATATGTAGCACTTTGCACACCTATTGGGCATATATCAGAGAAAGAATTGGGCAGTAACGGAAACCAAGAAAACTTTCAGTTTGTGGAGAGTGAAATACTATAAGGGGCGACCACAGAGAGAAAACGTGTGTTATACAATGTGTGTCACGCGATCCGTAATGTGTCAAAGAGTATCGATGTATCATGAACGGAGGGTGTACAGTTATGAACCAGCAGCAGGTAGCTTTCCACTGAAGAAAAAGCGAACAAAAACTCAAAAAATACTCTAGACAAGACTGTCCCTCATAGTCATGCATTGTGTGGAAGTACTCTAGTTGCGGAAATCTCCGGGTTTGTTGACACACTGACACGTTGCGACCTCTGCGCGATCCTTGGTTCACAAATCGTTCCCCGCATATTCCGGTACTAGGAGCCATTAAATACGAGAGGAAAAAAACGAAAAAGAAACACTGGAACAAAACTCGTGAGAGAGAACAGCTTTTAATAACTGTGCGCAAGGTAAGTGTGTAAGGACCACGGTAAGCAGTGCACGACGGTCTTTTGCACCACTGCAATTGTATCGCTGGTGAATTAAAGCTGCGCTCGAAAGCGTCTTCTTCATGAAAAGGGCCACTGTTGCTTGCTTGTTCTATAATGGTGTATAGGAAAAGTGGAACCACTGACCTTACAAGAGTAGCCACGCTACTGTGCTCTGTGACGAACACATGTGATTGTCCCATAACGGTGCAGGCTAAATGCGCGGTAACTATTAGTTAAGTCGTTTTTTTGTAGCCGGGAAACACTGAAGTGGTAGCAGGTCAGGCGTTGCTGTTTAATGTTGCACGTCCGCTCAACGGTGGTTCACGCTCTACTAGTGCCTGGCTACCAAGTTTAAGGAGAATCGTTTGGCGGGAATCATCTTTGAAGGGAGTAAATTAAGAAGGGCGAAAATACTAAAAACATCATTCCGATTTTCTTATAACGAGTTGTGCTAAAAATGAGAACAAGAGCGTACCTTGAAGGGTCGTCATATTTACAACAGGTGACTGGGAAAGGTACAACCGTCTCCTTGTGTGGACTCTGGAATCCTTCAGATGATAGCATTCGTGATTCCTTTGCAGTTTCTAATGATGAATCAAAGTGCCGCTTTTCAGCTTTGGGAAGGCTATTTTGTGCATTCGCGTTCGTTTCCTTTTATTGTTAACAGCTTACAGTTCCCACTAGAGTGTGACTGTAAACTTTAATCAGGATCAGTTGCGCAGTGAAACAAGTGTGCCACTTTGTTCACAGTGTTTCACAGATGTTCACAAGGTGGCCTTCACTGGCTTTGCTGAGTAGCATTGGTGTGTCGCACCAAACCGAACTGTGCTCGAAGCTTTTCGGTGTAGAATAAAATTGGAAGGGCGACAAAGAGAATTAATGAAACCTCTCCACATGTTTCAGAGAGTACAAGTTTATATCTTCGCAATCACTCGGGCAGCTTCATTGTTTGGTCATGAACTTGAGTGCTCCAAACTTCAATCGCCTCCCCGTTCACCTACGTGGAATAAACCGCTACGTGGAGTAGTGACTAATGGTGAACGTTGAAGAGTATCCCCTACACTGAATTTTCAGTTAGTTGCTCACCTGGGCTAAAACATAGGTTTCCTTCAAGCGTGGAAAAACCTTGTCGAAATAATTCAAATAATTCAGCACATGGTGCCGAACACCAGGATCCTGAGGTATATAGTGCATCCGGTTGAGTGTTCGTGCAATTCCGTACCCAGTCACTAGGTGAAAGAGCTGAAAGGGAAATTGGTGCTGTATTTGAAGTGAATAGAGACAAAGGTAAAGTGAGCGATAGTTGCCTGTATAGTTCAATGGCAGGTAAACGTATTCCCCGCAGGAAACTTTCTAATTCACCCTTCGCCCAGTTTTCGGAATTGCAGCCCCCGCCACAGACGCCAGCACCAAACTACCCCCCTTACGGCTGCGTTCATAGCTAGGGACCGTGAAAAAATGCAGAAATGCAGGAATGAGGAAATGTGGATCTGCAGAAATAACGGAGAGCATCAAATACTTATCAACTTTGAGAAATGCAGAAATGCGGAGCCTGCAGAAATGCACAAATGACGAATTGCGGAAAATCGATACTTATCCAATCCTTTCCGCCATTTTGCAGTTTTCGCATTTCCGCAGATTCCACATTTCTGCAGTTCTTTTAATCAACTCGCATCTAATGCTTTTCCTCGGTATTCTGCGAATTCCGCATTTCTTCATTTCTGCATTTCTTCACGGTAGTAAGCTATGAACGCGCCCTGGCATTTGGTTCTATGCCAAGCGCATGTGATAATCATGTTCGAGACCTCAGACTACCTGGAGGCGATTCTGGTCACACCTGCCGTCGGGAGAAATAGGCGAAAATTAGCATGATTTTAGAAGAAGAGAGCAGTATAGGGAAAATAGTGTCAGCGTGAAAAAGGTAAAAAGAAAAAGACAGGAAGATGCATTTGCTCGGACGAAAAACTTTCTAAGCGATGTTCTACAGATATTGAAAGAACAAAACACATTTTAAACGTTTGAAAAGAACGAGTATTTTAGTCTACTTGCCCACATCAACCAAAGTATCTACCCGCCAATCATGATAATTGGATTTGGTGTAAAAAATATTAACTGCATTGGTCCGTGTAAGATCAAAATAGCAGTTATATTATCTGACCAGAACTACAAGACATTGCTCCAAGCCTGAATCAGGTGCTAAGCAGGAATTATTCAAGGAACCTCCACCTCCGGAACCTTCTGTGCATTGAAAATGTTTGAAGCTTTACGCTGTTTTCACGAATTCAAAAAAAGTTCCACATCTAATGTGTTGTCGATGAGACTTCAAGATAGGGTATTGTTCATAGTACTGGTAGAGCATCGATTACCGAAGTCAATCTTGACAAATTTAACAAAATTGAGGCCATCTCTTGTAGTCCTACGATTCGGACGGTATTTTTCTTAATCCACGGCAACTCAGCCTTCTGTGGCGAAGCTGACGTATTACAAGATCACCCTGGTTCCGGCTGAAAGGTGTGGCCGCACCCAACTTTTCGACGGTCCAATTCTCTACCAATGAACATAATGGCAAAGTGCTTCGTTGAAGAACAAAAAACTGCTTATTGATGACACACTGAAAAAGAGTTTTTTCGCCCTTTTCTCAAATCCTATGCTGGATTTCCAAAAAAATAGAACCGAGAAACTCCCTCACAGACGGGCACGTGCCCCCTAGATATTGAAGTCGATTACGGCGCTAACTGGAATGAACTTCCAATATACTTATATTCTGTTTGAAACATCCTCCAAGGTCTCGTAGAAATTTTTCACAACCTGTATATCCATCTTTTTGATCGCGTGAGTTTTCTAGGGATTGGTCAAACACTGGGACTGTCTTCAAGGGCAGTTAGCCCAACGACTCGATTCCCTGCAGGCAGTGGAATTATGTATTGCGACAGTGAAGCAAAAACGGAACGAAACGACTAAGACGCTCGAATTACGGCCTCGCTCCAGTGAGGGAGGCGACAAACGTACGCTCAAAATAGATCATAGCTGGTCAAGGCTCAATGCGGGAAAATGGCGCTGACTGTAAGGTTAATGTGAGAATACATTATTTTGAGCGACAACATTGCAGTGCGGCAAAGAAAAATTTTTTTACCTATGAGGAACTGCCTTTTCAGGAGGGCCCCTGGGTACTTGAAAGAGCAACAGTTTGAGAGCAGGTTTGGATGGAAGCACTTGATCGAACCGAGATCGAGTGTTGCCAGATACGGACGGCTATTTTGAGTGTGTCGGTGTTGGTAGGAGACATATCGACGTATTCAGTCTTGTTGATGTCTGGGGACCGCTCTTTGTGGGAAAAGACTTCATGTAGGACTTGCGCAGGGGCACAGCTGTCTTTGGTGCTAAGGTGAATCACATGACTTTCGACTCATTGCGCCCTTTGCTTCTAGCTGTCTTCGAAAATTGCACTATAACCTCTCCTGGCCCGAGTGATCTTTCGAGCTTCTTTTTCCTATTCGATCAGATCCATATCGTAAACTTTTTCGTTAACTCCGAATCAGATGAAGATCTTCGATTGCTTGCAAAAATTAGCCACGGAAGGCTCTGTTCTAAATCTAGAAATGTAGGTGTTGCCAATAATTCTGACACCAGGAACAAACGAGCAGTGATCGCGAAGAAAACAATGAAAGTCAAGATGGATCCCTAGAAAAAAAGCTGGAAACAGAGCACACCGTTACGTTGTGGGAGTTATCGTAGAAAAACGACTACCCTTTGAGGGCTAATGCCGTTTGGACTCCAAGAATTCCGGCACCCAGCCCATTTGTAAATTGCCTAAGTCACCAAATCCGCCAAAAACTTGTATATAGGGGTAGTTTAACATCCTGATTAAGAATATGACATACACTTTTGTCGCTGGCGTCAAGAGAGGACACTAGGATCACCTCCTAGGCTCAGCCTTGGCAGAGCGCAGATAATCGTAGTGTCATCCATTAGCGCCAGCGACAAGAGCGAATGACATATTCTTAATCAGGATGTTAAACTACCCCTATATACAAATTTTGAGCAGATTTGGTGACTTAGGCAATTTAAAAATGAGCTCGGTGCCGAAATTCTTGGAGTCCAAACGGCATTAGCCCCCTTTGAGTTCGAGCGGGTGAATAAGGGAGAAGCTTGTAAGGCGTGTGAAACGGGAGAGACCGAAGCCCAGAAAGAATGCTCTCGTTCATGACGTTTGCTCTTCTCTACGAATGGCACCCCTGCGGTTTCCAACACGGCAAGTGGTGAGCACGAAATAGGTGCTGCAGGGGGAAAGACCTACGCAGTGTTCGCACAGGGACCCACCTAAACCACTCAGCGTAGCAGTGCTGCGCCTTCGACTTTCTTTGCGTTACGTCTCTCATGTCAACTAGGTAAGAAATGCTGTGCTAATGTGGGCAATAGCTGCGACCAGGAAGTAACGCTGTACACCCTGTCACATTACGTTCTTGAACAGCACACCTGTGTTAGAGGTTTTTTTCAGTATGACTTTTTTCTGGAAACGGGTCAATAATCATTCAAACTGCATGCTTGATAAAGAAAGTTGAATTGAAAAGAAAACTAATATGTCCACCTGGTTTCCAAGTCGACCACTATTGAGAAGAAATCCGACATATTTGATGTGTGTGGGTTTCAACTGAAGTAGTCTGGGTTTCATCCATCCCCATAACAACAAATGAAGATACACCAATACAATCATAGAGAGAAATATAGGCCACCTTTTCATCGTCATTGTGTTATCATTATTTTCTAAAAACCGAATGAATGGCTATGGCAAGTAATTACTTCGAGAAAAGATGACAATTAGATCTATGACCTAGGCCGACAAGGTTAGAGGATGAATATTGATAAATCCACAGTGATAAGAGCAGAAAAATGATGTTCAAATATGAAATAAGAAGTGGCTACATTTAGAGTATATACAATCCTACGACTCCCTCTTGTTTCGCCAACCTAGGATGGAGTTCTATTAATGAAGCACTCATTAATAGAACTCCTTCCTAGGTTGGCTGGGACCGACCTATCAGCGATAGAGTTTGTGCAATCAGCACAATCAGCTGGGGCGTCGACAAGGATTGAACGAGCTCACCCGCTCCTTTCAGCCACTGGTTGTTTGTGAACCGATCGTTAATGGAACCCTCACTGATAAGGCGAGGGCACCCAAAAACGTGTTCGTTCTGCCCTTCCTGCCAAAGCCCGTCTGAATTCGATCTTATAAACTGTAAATATGTAAGGTTCACCCACTGAAACTTCATCGTACTCATGCAAAATGCTGAAAAACCCTCCAAAGCAGAGGCGTAATCTTCGTGCCTAATAAGGCAGCTCTCAGGTGCCTATCGTCTTTCCTTATAGCCCTAGAAGGTATTGTGAAATTTTTGGAAATCTCTTTGTGTGTTCGATGTGCATGATTCAATGAGATTGTTTCGGTACAGTACATTGTTAGATACAGTCATGATCCGTGCAAACGACAGAGAGTGTGACGTGGCGTGGAAGCTAGCGCAACCTTTTCCACCTATTATAGCATAGCACCCACAACATTCAAAGTTAGCTCTGGCTGCGCTCAGATCCACGTCCCTTCATACGCCCTATAGTTTGTAAGGAACATGACTGTCGTAAAGCATGGGGTTCCAGCACAAATAAGTGGAGCTAATCATGAAATGATCAAACTAATGCAAACGTTTACTGCTTCCAATACCCGCGTCGAATCCTAAAATTCTCAAAATATGAAGCTACCTTGCTCTGAAAAACTTCCGTAAGGTAACAATTGAACGTCACAGGTGGGCACAAGAAGCACTTCACGACAGACTCAGCCTAAGGTTGTTGACTTGAATGAGTGTTTGCTATATATTTTCACACCAGAGTGAAAATGGCAAAAAGCTTGCATCCGAGAAAAAGGGCCAAAAAAGACTTTCAAGTCATGTAAACATGAAAAAAATAACTTTTACCTTCATCGTAGATCCTGTCATAGTTTCCCAAGCCATTCTCGCTCATTATACCTACATGCACGCAGAGATTACCAGCTAACTTGAGTTGCGTTTTCTGATAAGAAGAGGCGTAAACGGAAACGAAACACCACTTCCCAGTGTCCTTATTATGCTTTTCAAACTAGAAGGGAAGAACAAGCTGTAAAGCTGTAAATCGCGATTGCTCAATGACTTGAGGTGATCGTGGACACAGCC